GGTCTACCTGAAAATTCTGAACTGAAAGAAAAGTTCTTTATCTTGTACACTACAAAATAAAATCTATTTTTCAACCTCTGCACATGATAAGTCTCATCTCTTCTGATCAGAGCTTGTCCAGGAATCTCTTCCACGTACGGATTCCATATGATTGTAGCCCGCACAAATGAGCTATATGATCACATAGTGATCTGTTCAATTCATATACACTCATACACACACGTATATAATTTAGATCAATTCCTTTGTGTCATGCGAACAAGTAGGAAAACATTAATTTAGCTGGCCGGAGGTGCTTTCATCTATATTGCCTCGCAGCTATAGAAGTTATCTGCACCAATGTCCTGCACACAACTGACAGTCAATAATTAATGATGGACAGGGAGTTGAATAAAAGTGCTTCATTCTCCCATGATTGGTCAGTCATAGCAAGACAGAGGGAATAATTTTAGCATCATATTTTAATCCTATCTGACAGCTTGGAAACTAATAAGTCAAACCTATGCAGGCAATTAAAGAAATACTTTTTATTGTTGTGTGACATGAAATCATACCTAGCTGTCATTGATACTGTATGACTGTCACTGAGGGGTCAGGATGGAAACTTCTGTATCTCCTTCCTCTTCTAAGTCTCTCTGCTTCAACCTTTGCACAGCAATATTTATTTTAATTAGGAAGAGATTGGAACAAGCCAAGGTAACTTGTAATAGCCATGTTCAGTAAAAAATAAAAGTCTCGCAAAACAAGATCTCCTATCAGTGACAAAAAAAAAAAATGGCTCAAATGGACAGGCATGGTGGTGTATACCTTTAATCTCAGCACCAAGGAGGCAGAGGCAAGGTGGTGCTCTGTGAATTCAAGGCCACCCATCAAGGTCACACACTGAGACACTGTCTCAAAAAAAAAAAAAAAAAAGCAAAGAGAGTTCTATTGGCACCTATAACTTTACTTGCCCAGGAATTGACTTACTGAGACAAGCTCACAAATTCCCACGTCCCATCCCAGCACAGTTAGGCAGAGGTCAGGTGTGAGATTCACTATCTCTTAGATAGGTGGATCCTATTCTGCTAGGATCCCATGGTGCCGTTCTGCACACCGGCCTCATGCCTATAGGTTCAATAGTGAATGGTTTCTGTTTCTTCTTCTGGCTTTGAGACAATAAAAACAAAATTAGATGCTAAAACTGGTTGAAATCAGTTAATGAGAAGTGCAGCATTCACACACGATGAGGAGGAGGAGGAGGAGGAGGAGGAGAGTTATGTTCAAATACCCCAGCTTTAAACATGTTCTTGCATCAGGCCCTTTTATACATGCTTAACACATTACTGTTCTAATGCTCACAACTGACCATGAGAAGTTGGTGTTATTATATATGTAGTCTTAGGCCACACCTTTGTTAACACTGGGGACTAGGATTTCAACACTGATCTGCCAGAACCCAGAACCCAGAACCCACTGGTAGTATTCATGGTATATCCCATGAAACACTCTTTGTGACTCATTACTAAATACTCGTGATGGTTAATTTTTATTGTCAGCTTCATTAGGTTGAGAGATGCCTAGGAGATTAGTGAAGCACACTCCTGGGCGTGTCTGTGTAGATGACTGGCAAGTGGGACAGCAAGTTAGGGGGAAAGGCCCGGCCTCAGTATAGACAGCACCACTTCCTTGGCTGCGTGTCTGGATGAAGAAGAGGGGCAGGAGGAGGAAGTCACTCAGATCGTGCAGGAACCCCTTCTCCTGCATGGGTGTGTTTAGTGCAGATGCTGGTGGCTGTGAACATCTGGCTCCCGCGTCTTGAGTCCTTCAACGTGAATGCATGCCGGTGGCTGCAGGGAGCTCCCAGACCTGCAACCTCAGACTGGGCTGCATCACTGGTTACCTTGTTCTGAGGCTTCCAGCATCTTTGATTGGGGAACTTCTGGGTTTCCTGGCTCTCCAGCTTAGAGACAGCCATGGTGGGAGCATCCAGCCTCCGGACATATAAGTGAACATAATAAATCCCTCCTTGGTCACATAAACATGCACAAACACACACATACACACATCACACACATGCATACACACACCATACACATACATACACACATGTACACATACATGCACATATGAACATATACAAACATACACCATACATATATACACACAAATACACATGCGCGCGCGCACACACACAACTTCTATTCATTCTTTTCTTCCAGAGAGCCCAACCAAAAAAAATGTTCAAAATTAGATTTAAGCTTGGTTTTGCTCTGTCTACCTCAGTAGAGCTATATATTTATTTAATACAAAATAAGTTCTCCATATTAAAATGGACAAGGGACACATTGTTAAGTGGATTTTTTAAGGGAAAAATTATATTCAGAAGTTCAAATCTGGAGGGAATTAAATTTAATTTTACAAAGCACTGTGGAAATACAAACATAGACTGTTTGTATTTTTCTTTAGGAACAGCTGCATCAATTCCTCTCCCCAAAGCTAAGGATCTTTTGAAAGGCACAGTACAGTGTACCCATGGCTCTTCAAATATCACCTCTACAGACATCTTCCCAACCAACCTGAATAAGCCATGACCTAATAAGCCTTATGACCCTATCAGAGAAACAAGCACATATCTTCTGGAAAGGGAAAAAAAATGGGCTTTGGAGGACATACAGTTTTTAATACCCAGCTCTGGTGGTGTATCTGGGAAGTATATGTAGATCACAACTACATGAAAAGGCATGAATTTCCAATTAATCGTTATTTAAAACTGTCAGTAGAGATTTATTCACAGGCTACAGTTGGACACTCACTATTCTAATATATTGCTCAATGTGGTTTGTTGCTATTGTTGTTTTTAGTTTTTAGCAATTAAAAAAATGCAAAATTATCTTCCTGTTGCTGCTGCTGCTAGTGTTGGTGATGATGGTCATAAATACTGTCTATTCCCTCTAGTAGAAGGCAGCTAGCTGAGACAGCTCACACTCCAATGCTAAAACAAGATTTCCTGACAGACAGACGACAGTTCACTGTAAATATCTGATGATGACTTTCACCAGTGGCCACTATTTCACAAGTGAAAAACAGAAGTTGCCAGCAAGCATATGAAATATCTTTGGCCTTATTAATAATAAATATAAAATAATGACATACTATTTTTCACTTGTAAGGCAACCATCTGGAGCAGGGTGAGGTGAAGGAGTGCCTACTTGTATAGATGGGAGTTTTGGCAAACTGGTTGTCTCGTCAATGACTCACAGGAGAGAAAACCAGTGTCATTTCCAGAGGACCATTTACCATCATCTGTTAAAGTGAACAGACCAATTCACAAATGGGCAGTGGATTGGAGAGCAATTTCCCTGGAGAAGATATGCAGATGGCCGACAGATACTTGAGAAAATGCCCAACATTAGTTGCCATTAAAGAAATGCACATCAAATAACCAGACACCACTTTGTACCCCTCAGGATGGCTACTGAGAAAAAAAAAGAGGGAAAGTAACATGTGCCGATGAGAATGCAGAGAAATTAGAACCCTGATCATTGTTTGCACATGTCTAAAGTTACACAGCTCCTGAGGAAACAAACAGTTTGGGAGCTCCTGAAGTAGTTTAGCAAGAATTACCATGTGATTAACTCATTCCACTCTTAAGTGGATAACCCCCATCCACTGAAGCCAGGACTCAAATACACACACTCATGTAACACAAAACCAAATACCTGTCATCAGATGAATGGGTAAACACATATGGTATATAGACACAATGCAAATAAGATTTTAAAAAAAGGAATGAAATATTGATAGGTGCTACACTGTGAATAACTTTAGGACATTATACTCAATTAAGTTAGCCACACACAAAGAGGCAGGTATGACACAATTCCAGTTACATGATGCACCTGGAATGGGCAAATCAGGACATTGAAAGTAGAATAGAGGTCACCAGAAGTTGGGGAGGATGGTGATGAGAACTAGAGGGTTAATAATTCATGAGTAGAGTTGCTGCTTGGAGTAGTGAAGCAGTTTGCGAGGTGGGTAAAGGTAATAGGTGCACGGCATTCAAACTTAACAGCTGTCCAGTACATCTAATAGCTAAAAGTATAAGTTTTATAGTACGTTTATTTATATACGCACATATGTATATACACATATACCCCAAGATCCATCATAAGTAATAAATATTTGGCTATGTAAACAGTGCTTGGCAAGCAAATGTATGAGACTGTTCTAAGGCACTAAATATGACAAAGTAGAGTTTTCACATACAAAAATTCTCTGTGACATTATTGGTTGTCTTAAGGTTTCTATTGTTGTGAAGAGACACCATGACCATGGCAACTCTTATAAAAGAAAACACTTCATTAAGGCTGGCTTACAGTTCAGAGGTTTCGTCCATTATCATCATGACAGGAAGCATGGTAGCACAGAGGTAGATATGGTGCTAGAGAAGGAGCTGAGAGTTCTACCTCTGGATCCACAGGCAGCAGGAAGTGACTGCCATACTGGGTGTGGCTTGAATATATGAGACCTCAAAGCCCACCCCCAGTGATTACTTCCTCCATCAAAGCCACATCTACTCCAATAGGCCACACCTCCCAAGAGTGCCACTCCCCATGGCCTATGAGGGCCATTTTCTTTCTAACTACCACATTGGTCAGTGAAATAGCAAGTTTCATGATGCATATAAAGTTGATTCCATTGGTATAAAAATTCTAAATTTGTGTATACATGGAAAAAATTCTAGATGTTCTCCAAATGCTAACAGGGGATTTTAATGGCATGGTGGCTATGAAGTGATTTCTTTTAAATTCTTTTTATAATTTTTCTGCACCAGCTGAAGTTTTCTAGCAAAGAATACATTTAACCAAAGTAATAAGCTATTATAAATACTTTTTTCACATGAGTTAAGGAAGTGGGGTCCTCTGTATTTGCAGTTGGATACATGCTGTGTCTCTGTTAACACAGCAAAAGGAATATCTGTGAACAATCCCAGACAGTCTCAGGGAAGAGGCACATACCTCAGTCAGTGGAGTGGGGTCTCTGTCGGTGGAAAACAGAGCCATTATTTCAGAGCAACATTCAAGGATCATGTTCTAGAAAGAAAAACAGAACAGGGTGATTCTGGTGTCTTTGGGAAAGTAGGCCATATTGATTATTAACTATTTTTGTCTTATTTTATGTCACTCAGTCCCTATTTCCAAGCTGTGAGAGAGAATAAGAAGTCAATTGCTCAAGTCATCTAGGTTCCTTTGAAAGCATACCAGGGAGCCATAAAATGAGACCTGTGTTTCATCATGAATGTCTGTTGCTATAGGGTCCTTTTCCCCTGGACATCTACTATTAAGATGCATAGTCTGCAGAGGAATGATAAGTATAATAGTTTACACCAAAATAAGGTTTGGGGAAATGACTTTCCATTGAGGAGAAATCCTCAGGAAGAAGTGATTCGGGTCGGGTCTCAGGGGCTGGCAAGTAGGAGTTTAAGTGGAAAAGAATGGGGGGCATTTGGGGACAAAAGAGAAAGGGTATTGGGAGAAGTCAACAGAAAGAGGCCATAGTGTATGGACATCGTCTGCTGATGGCCTTGCATGGCCTGACTGTAGGGACACAGTTGTCTTTATGTGTCGACACCTGACCTCAAATGACCTCCCCACAAGTATGGCTGACACAACCAGACTCCCTATCATGGCAGCTTCATGGAGAAAATGCAACACTTGTCAGAGCCAGTGGTAGCCATGTGAGCTGTGAGGTAAGACGTGGAGTTGGAGAAGGCAGCCACTGGGTTAGAGATGTGAAGCTGAGGAAGGGGAAGAGGCAGAGATGAGAGAGAGTTTGTGTCCCCTGTGGGGCTGAGTGCAGATTTGACTCCTCTCTTCTGTTCCTATCGGGCTCACTGTGCTGTGTCTGGTCGTCGGCAGTACACAGGCTTACTATGCATGGGATACGTCTCTGCCTTTTCCCTCCAAGCCCATTTTACTGAGCAGGTGTTCTTTCCCTTTCCTTACAGTGGAAGGGATCAGGACTGCAAGGTGGAGAGATGAGGCTGGGGAGGTGCCTCGGAGGTGAAGCACTTGCTCTTCCAGAGGACCTGGGTTCAGTTCCCAGCACCCACCTGGTGGCTCAGAACCACCTGAGGCTCCAGTGCCAGGGGATCTGATACCCTTTTCTGATTCCCCCAGATACTAACAAGCTGGGCATGCATGTGGTGTGCAGGCGTGAGTGCATACAAAACACTTACACACATAAATAACTAAATTAAAAAAAAAAAAAAGAATTGTCAGAGCTAAGCTCTACCTACCTCAAAACGTTGCCAGCATCTAGCCCTGGAGGAATCAACAATTTGTTTTGATGATAGTATTAATATACATATGCACTGGCACTCAAATAGTAAAATGATAAAAATACATTAATTTTTAAATCATAACTGAGCAATGATGGTTAAAACCTTAAAATAAAAATCAAAGGGTAATAGACCTTGGAATTCCAAATGAAGCTTTAATAGTTTTAATAAATGCATATATACAAAAATGATCCAATTAGAGTTAAAAATTAAGAAAGGAAAACTACAGCTAATTCTTAAACTTAACAAATATATTCAAGACATTCTGCCAGGTGCTGTGGGATACAAAGGTGAAGAAACAGAAGAAATTTTAGTGGAAAAAATAGATGCACAATAAAATTAAATGGCATCTGATCAGAACGCGTGTAGTTATGACATGTGGTAAGATCACAGGGGTGGAGAGCGATTGTTAGTGTGACGAATAAGGAGTTACTGAACAGAGCTCATGTGACCTGTGCCCTGAGAGAGTGGGAGGGCCATCTACCAGGGTCTACACCACTGAGGAATTCAGCCCCCACCCCAGGCACCATGAATTCCTTTATCTCTTCAGGGAGGGGAGGGGAATCCTAAGTCCCTCCCCGCTCCATGATGGAATGTTATTGGGCCTTTCTCATACAGGTCTTGTGAAGGTAGCCACTGCTGTTTGAAGTCTGCGGGTGTAAGAGCTGTGTAATGTTAAGAGGACAGCTTTTCCCGTCCCTCGCTCTCTCCTCCAGCCCTTACCTTCTTCCTGCCCCCTCTTCCTTAATGTTCTTGGAGCCTTGGAAGTGGTGATGCCGATGTCCCACTAACCCTGAGTCCTCAGGGTCACTTTCTCACAGGACTTTCACCAAATATCCCCTCCCATGTTCATATAGACAATCCTAATTAAATATAGAGAGCCGCCAACAAAAAAAGTCCACGGAAGTGGGAGGGGCCTAATGGAGGAGGAGGAGGAGGAGTCCAGTGAGAGGAGAAAAGTGATAGAATAATGGGGGAGAGATGATGTGAGGACATCATACTTATTATGTGAACATTATATTAATGTACAATTGTATACGATTCCATTAAGATGCAGTGAAATCATGAAAGGATACAAAAATAAAAATAAACAAGGAAAAAGGAGAAGAAGGATTTGAACTGTTTGAGAATGGAGGCAAAGGCAGGGGTGAGGTGGGATGCATGAGCCACAAGTGATGGGCGTTCAAGGAACATGGGCACATGATGTGGTCTTTCCTGTGGCAACAGCTCACATAAAAGCAAGGGATTTGAGTTTAAACTAGGAAATTAGTTAGGAGGAGACTGGGCAAATAATGATACAGATTGCATTAAAAATATAATTCTGACCAG